AAAAAAAAAAAAATACCCCAAAAAAATCAGAAAAACAAAGTGTTCCTTCAAAAAAACCCACCGCACTCAGTGAAATTTTTCATTTACGGTTGAACTCAATGAGCTAAAAGGTATTTTCTAACCAAAATCATTTTATTATTCTAATAAGTAACAATAAAAATGACAAATAAGATATTTTCCAGCAGAAGAAACATGCCTTTCACAGGCAACATGACTAGAAATATAGGCTGTGGGGACCTACATTGATTACATTGCATGATTTGTAAAATGGTATGTCTGTAAGCCTGCAAAAGAAAATAGGAGTCTCATTCAGATGCATTATAAACTTTCAAGTAACTGTTTATCCAAATTATTCTTTCAGTCTAAATATACAGATAACTTAATACTCTTATGTTTCAGCTTTTGGAGTCAGTCATAAAAGGTCCAAATTTACCAGGTGGTTTTCAGGTTGCAGAAAGCCTGCATTTCAAACAGAAGCTGAAATTTTTAACTAATCCAATGACCTCAGGAACAGAAATATTCAGGAAAATTTTTTGATTATTGTACTCAGAGGGAGTTGGAAGAACCAAGAATTTCAACAAACTTTTATATGTCTGCATGTGGCTGCATATATATACATGTGTGTATATTCTGTATACATCAGAGAGAAAACAATTACAGATTCATGGCATGAGAACAGTAATAAAAGAAATATGCTCAAACACTTCAAAAATAATTTTAATTTAGTAGGGTTTTTTTTTTAGGTGAGAGTCAAAGTTTTAGGTAGTCTAGGCATGAAGAATCCTAATGCCAATTTGTATATCTATCTTCTGATTTGTATCTATCCAGAAGACAGAATCACAATTCTGATTCAGGCTGAGTCCCTAATATCTTGCATGAGCAGCAATTACTTTTATAAAGAGATAAAGAGCAATTCCCTTTTTCAAAGCATGACTGTGCTACCTACAGAAGTATTTTGTAGGGTTCCTAGCCTAGATGCTCTTGGGAGACAGGTCTTCCTTTCAAAGTAAATAATACTAGCTTCTCTGAAATATCTTTTTTAAAAAAAGAAAAAAGCATTTCACTTCCTTTTGGACAACTTCAAAATGGTGCAGGGTGTAAGAGGCTACATAAAGTTGGGAAGCTGAGGGACAGAAGGGCTCAGCATGTTCTCCATGGAACTTCCCCATGAACTTGCAGCACACTTGATAACCAAAACCATGTCATCTGCATCTCCTAAACCAGTAGATGCTGCTATCTCTACTTCTCCAAATATTGAATTTATGTTTTCAGTTACATGTAGAATAACTAATGCACTGGTGCCAGTCAGATACTTTATATCACCAAACCCCCACAAGCAAATTTGTTTTACACAGCAGTTGAATGCAAAACATTCTGTAGAGAGTGCAAACGCAAGGGAATGAGAACAGAAAACAGCACTAGCAACATCATTTAACTTAAGTGAACATTAATACCTCCAAGACATTGCATTATTGCTTCTTACACTTAGTGGGAAAAGCTGTAATTTACATGTATAATGCTTTTAACATCATCTATTAATAAGATGTGTATAGTTACTCTGTTCAATTGATATTGGAAAGAAAAGACTTATTTGAAAACATATGCTGCAATAATTAAAATGCTATTATGCTGACAGTGCCTTTCTTCGAGGAATTCGTAACGTCTGTATTGGCTGTGATAAGCATTGATTATCTGGAGTGATATAAATATTTGGGGAGCTAATAACAAGCAGGTAGGATTTCAGTGAATGCTATAGGCAGCCAAGATAAATCACAGGAAGCCTAGATCAAAGCTGGTTTGTGAATAAGTTTGTTTTTGTATTTAACAACTCAATATAAAGCACACACACAGAAAACTCTTCAGAGATTTAAACCCAAGGAAATGCCATAAAGAAACATCCCATCCTGTGCAGCATTTTTGTACATCTGTAGGATCTCCCTATGCAGCAAGAAGGATGTCAGCACACAAAGAGGTGAATTAATTCAATCCATCAAGTATTTACCATGCACATTTAGTAACAATAGACATTTATTTGAATTATTAAAACTTTTTTTAAAGCAGAAAAAAACCCAACAACATGGAACTTTTATTCCTTCCCTTTGAGGAGGGTAATTTAGTGATGCAATAGGGTCAACTGCAATTTAGTTCCCATTCAGGCTGGGTCAACTACCTCTTGGTTCCACCTCTGGTATTTATTTTATTTATTCTGTCTTACTTTCATTAAATTGCTTTAGACTGTAATAAGAGTTTACATCACCTGCTGTGCTCCTTTCTAGGTGCTTTTTTCTCTTCCCTATTCTGATGTCCCACTATATAACCTCTGCTTTCTTGGTCCTGGCCCTTGACATCCCAAAGGCTCTCTGGATTTCTGGAGGTGATGTAGGCTTGAAAAAGTCCTGATGAGATTCAAGACAGCCTCAACTTCAGTGAGGTTGCAAGGGCATGACTGAAAGCAGGATGTGCTCTGTATATTCATTAATCAAGACTTTTATTGCTAACATTTCCTCCTTTGCACATAAGACAAAAGCTCGTTGCTGTCAGTGAGCGAAGAAGAGCCGCGGGAGCGGCTCGGGAAGGCAGGGCCCCGGCCGGGAGCTCTCGGGAAGGCAGGGCCCCGGCCGGGGGCGGCTCGGGAGGGCAGGGCCCCGGCCGGGGGCGGCCCGGGAAGGCAGGGCCCCGGCCGGGGGCGGCCCGGGAAGGCAGGGCCCCGGCCGGGGCCGGCCCGGGAAGGCAGGGCCCCGGCCGGGGGCGGCTCGGGAGGGCAGGGCCCCGGCCGGGGGCGGCCCGGGAGGGCAGGGCCCCGGCCGGGGGCGGCTCGGGAAGGCAGGGCCCCGGCCGGGGGCGGCTCGGGAGGGCAGGGCCCGGGCCGGGGGCGGCTCGGGAGGGCAGGGCCCCGGCCGGGGGCGGCTCGGGAGGGCAGGGCCCCGGCCGGGGGCGGCTCGGGAGGGCAGGGCCCCGGCCGGGGGCGGCTCGGGAGGGCAGGGCCCCGTGCGCTGCCGAGCTCCCGGGAGCAGGGCTGGGATCCAGCCGCGGCCCCCGGCTGCAGCGCCCTGCTGCTCCTTCCGCAGCCAGTGCTGGCAGCAGAGCTGGAGCCTGCTGCACCGGTGCGATCTTGGCCCCAGGGATAAAATAGGAGCTTTTTGCTGACAATTATGCAACCAAGTGTGTACCCTGAGTGACTGAATCCAAACGTTTGTCTGATTTCAAGTGAGTGAGAAGCCCTATTGACTACCCATGCCCACAGGACTTCTCACATACCTGTGATCAGGAGAGAAGCTCAGTTTATGTAAACCTTTGCCCGTGAGTCAGGGTTGAGTAAACAAAGACTTTTCCATATTTTCTGCAAGCATTCCACTGTTAATACACAGCATGGAACATTTGTTCCTTATTAAGCTGTATTTTCATTTCTTTGCTTTAGTAATTTAGCTCTTTCTAACACTCTTTGTTCCCTTTTTTAAGCATTGCATTAACTTGCCTTCCTGTAACCTCTGTACAGCTTTCTCTGTGATTGTTGTAACAGTTTGTCCTATTCCAAAGCACAGGGATTGATTGTGTCTC